ACGCATACCTATTATATCGGTAAACAAGAATACATTAAACAGAGCCGGTATATCACATGCAAGAATTAACAATACAAATACAGTTTTAATCAAAATTAATATCAAATTATCTTACATTGCATTGTGTGACACGGTGCTATAAAATTATCTAGCAAGAACTATTTATATTATTTTTTTTTTTATTCGCTAGAAAGTTTTCTTGGTACAATATATTATTATAATACCAATGATTTTATAACTGAAAAATAATTACAACTACACAAAAACTACTAGAATACGCCATAAAAAAAAAAATCCTTCATCTTGCATTTTGAAGGTGATTATCAGGTCACGCGTAATTTGACACGAGCTTTTATCGATCGGTACGGTCGAGAAAAAAATAGTTTTACCGACGTAAATGGTTAATGCGTGACGTTGAAAAAAAATTGAAAAAAAAAATAATAATAAAAATAATAAAACAGGGTGTGTGTTCTGCGGGGAGAGTAGTGTGCAAAAAATAACAACAATTATTCGTCCAGGATGCTTTGTGCGGAAACAATAAAGGAAATAAAAGTTAAAAGTTCTAACTCAAAGTTGCGAGTAGTTTCTGTTATATAATATGATGGACGGTGTTAAGATAGTCGGAGGATATTTGGGTGGGTAAAAAAAGTTTTTTTTTTAATTCCATTGGCGGTCGTTATCACAACTGGGCTTGTCACTTTGGCAAATCATTAACAACAACCCTTTCGTCCCCCCTCATCGATATGGATCGTTTACTAATGTCTTATGAAATTAATACTGCTACCAACACATACTGTTAAGTTATTCGTAATGCAAATATTTCATAAGTGTAAGGCCCTCCTCACACGGGGATACTCAAAAGAAACTGCAATCGTCTAGGTACTAGGAGACTGGGTGACTAGGCAACTACAGTTGCCGGTTATCTTCACACAAAGTATACTAAATTTTTGTTTTTAGTTTTTTAAACTAGTATCGCCCTACTATTTCGACAGTACAGTTCAGTTTTTCGTATTATATGTGTACATTGATATTTATACAGTAAATAAATTAAAATTTTGTATAATGTCTAGTAGTGATTTGAGTAGCGATGAAGAAATTATTCTTTATCATTACTATAAACATAGAAATATATTAATTATTATTATTACTGTAGAATATGCAACATTTATGCAAATATAAAGAAATATACAATTAATATGTATTTTTATTGAATTATGCAAAAATACGCAAAAAAAATGAACCATATAATCTATTATATATGAATTTATTATGAAACGTCGACATTTATAATTAAAATTATTATTATAGGTGAATTGTAGAAGAATATTTATTTGTATATAAATCCAGGACCTAATCATAATAATATATTAAAATATATAAACAAATTATAATTAATTAATAATATAAATAATAAATTACTTATAGCCATGTACTCAGAACCAATTATAATTATATTATTTTATTATACATATTATTATTATTATTATTGTAATAATACTAGAATATTCTCGGACTTACCTGTGAGCTTAACTTGTGAGGCTACTTCACTCCAAGCTCTTTCCATTATATTTCTTTTGGAGTAGCTTTTTAAGGTATAATTATATAGTTCGGGATACTTTTCTATTTGTTGCACAAATTTTATATTAAAATTTTGATCCATGATATATTATTTTATTATGCATGAAATAAAAAAAATACCAAAATAAATAAATAAAAATTACCAAGCAATTTGATCAACCAAAGTAGCGAGGAGACCGGCATGTCTAGTCACCAGTTGATTAGTCGCGGTGACTTTAGTATCACCGATGAATGACGCCATTCAAACACACATGAGCAGTTGCCTAGTCGCCTAGTATCCTAGTACCTAGGCGATTGCAGTTTCTTTTGAATATTCTCATGTGAGGAGGACCTAAGTGTCTGTGCGTACAAGCTCGGTTCACACCGTATACCGCATGCTGCTTACCGCTACGATTTTGACGCCTTCACCAAGTTCGGCTCCGGACAGTTATTCATTTTGCACCCAATTTATAGCTACTCTAAATCCAGCAAATCTCGTATTAATATTGAATATATTGCTATATAACAATAATATTATTATATAAGTATAACAGTTGACATTATTGCTGGATGCGTCCGTTTAATTATTTGTGCAGCCGTTGTGTATATAACTACAACACAGTCTACCAGTTAAAATTGAGTTCCTAAAACGAATTTAGTATTGTATTTTACTGGTTTATAAATTAAAATTTGTTAAATCGGAGACGAAATCAAACCAGATAGAAATTAAAAATAAAAATCAATATGTTGACTATCTAAACGACTATCGACGAAAAACGACGACGTTTGGTATTGAGCGTTATGGGTAAAGAGTGAAAATATGTGAAAAAATGATGAGTTATTTTCATTCACCATTCAAATGCATAAATGGTAAATTGTATGTATTAATATGTATTCAATGTATTCAATGAGTACAATATCGTTATTGCAAAGATAGGAAACTTTAGACACATCATAGTATATATGGTATTTTTGAAAACTAGTTATGACTTATGCTAAAATGTATTTCATAATTGAAAACGTAAAAAACGTTTATCAATACTTAGTCATAATTTATTTATTTTATATTATTTTTTTCATTTTGATGAAAATTGATTTCAATAGTTCTACTGGTCTTACATTACACAATTATAAAAATAAATTATAACAAAATGCTAGTGCTTTTAATTGAATAATAAACACGTCCAGCTAAAAAATATAAAAACATTTAGATTTTTTTAAAAATTTTAGCTGAAACCGCTATGCTTCGATGTATACAATGTATTATTTCTATGCATGTAATATTTTTGGTGAACAAACACCGCCAACTATTCATTTGAAATTTAACTAAATTACTAAAAAATCGATCTGTTTTTAGTATTCCGATTACTATTTACTTTTGCATTTGTGTTAGTGCGTATGCTACGCATATGAGATTGTACAACAGAATTACGAAAAAAACATTTTGATAATGGCCCAGAGACATCTGCTCGATTGTTTTGAAAAATAAAACTTCCCATGCCGCCAAATGGTAGAACTCATAAAACCAAATTGATTTCGAAAGAAGAATAAACATAACGACGGTTGAATAAATATAACTTGTGTGTATCAGTACGCATTGATAGTGAAAGAAAAAGAAAGAAAAAAAGTGGTTTTCGTATAAATATACCGATTATACAAGTAGAATAAAAAAAAATAGAAGTACATTATTATCATAGTTGTGACCATTAGTTTGAACGCCAAATAGAGTGATTCAGTCGCATCAAAAATACGTAATGAGCGTTTGTGAAGTGAGTGTCTATGTATTTAACGAACAAACAAGATATCCTCGAAATTCTTTTCGCTATTGTGATTGATTAAGTTTCGGTCTTAAGCCAATTTTTTACTGCTGTTGTCTTTTCGTCAGTGATAATAGTGATAACCATTTACTGTATCAGAATTAAATGTCCAAATATTATGCAGTATTCAAGCCTATGGAGAAAAATGTGTAAAGTGAATAAAATGTAAAAAAAAAAACAACAAATATATTAGATTACTATTTGAAATTGTATTTTATATAAAATATGACTTTTATTAATTTTTTTTTTTTTTTAATTTTCACGTTCTTAGAGCTTTATTTAATTTCATACAGATATTTAGTTAAATACGATTAAATTGAACAGACAGAATTGGTAGGAATTACGCAAAGGAAATGTAAAATTTTAAAAAACTAAATAAAATGAAATAAGAAAATATATTTCTAGGAAGCTATTGTCTACCAATTCTATGAAAATAGAATATTCATTTAAATATTTTTTTCGAAATAATTATAAATTATATTATATTAATAATATATTATCACTTCTATTTTTGAGCCATATTTTAAGTTTTATTTTTTTTTCCTTTTTAAAAATTGTTGTATTTTTGATTTAGAAGTTATGTTGAATATAAAACTGATATGATAGTTTTTTAATTATTAATCTATGCTCAATATATATAAAACAACACGAAAATTGTGAAATTAAAATGAACCTAATAGAGATTTTATTTATTTCCATAGTATTATATCACAAAAATATTTGAGTCTTTTAGTTAAATATTTAGTATTTGAAGGAATTCGACTAGTGGTTTTGTAAGTGAAAAGTAATCAAATTAATTAAAATTGCACAAGTCAGGTACTGTAATAAATTAAAATCATTATATAACATATCAAAGGTTTCAATTTTAATTTGGGTATTTTCTGTGCTACGTGTTCCATGAAAAAAAAAAATAATTTCAATTCCTTATTTTAAGGGTTAGGAATAAAAATGGAATATTTTTTACAGGATTGAAATAGAAAATATTTAACGTGAATATAATAAAGTGGTTTGGGAAACCATTTACATTTTTTATGCAATTATTTTTCTGAAAATAAACATTTATTCCTCAAAATGTATTTAAAACTTAAACGGTCTCGTGGAGTAATCCATCCGTATCCTGGAAATAGGATTTCAACATTTGAGAAATCATATTCATAGCACTTGACGTACTACACCGATTACAATATAATAATTTTGTTTTTATTTTATGCGTTATATAAGTTTTTATTCATGAAGCAAATGTACACCTAAGTCTGTAAACAATATAATTAATAACTATTATTTTAATTTATGTTATTCCATAACTTATATTTTATATGCGTATTCAATGTTTCTGAATTAAGTGTTCAAGAAAATATGTCAACGCAATAAAGAATAACATGTTTTTCGATATATCTTGGTATCGATCTTAAATATTAACTATTTCATCAAAACAATAATTATAATAATGGTTTAAGCGAGTTTATTGTTGGCATTTTAATTTAAATGGTGTAAAATGTTAACTAAAACGGTATAATAACAATCGAGTTAGACATCCAGCCGTACGACTCGAAATAATTTAATAGTATCAAAGTGCACAGCTGCCAGGAGAAATGGTAAGTGGATTACGTAGCAGGATTTACATACCGTTTTATCGTAAAGCAGTTGTATTTTACAGTTCAATTGCACAGTCGATCCTATACGAGCCGTGACGTTATCGGGCCCAGGGCCGTCTTCGAACAACGGTGACCATTTTGAACCAACTTCGTGTTGATGATGATTTTCATCAATTACGTTGACATCCATGGTTGTTTGTGTGGTAGAAATGTATTCTGGAAAAAAAAAATTGAAATTTAAACAATATTTTGATTCTAATTATATTTTTCAAGGTTAACTGAGGTAATAATAATTTAATTTTACAACAGTATTCATTTATGATTTATATTGAACAACAAAATTACCTCGTCGGAAAAAATAATTTAGCATTGTTGTACCGAAAATACAGAATTATAGTTATTTTTATTGTGGTCTCATAAATGTATATAAATACAGAATAGAGAACTTATGTCATTCTTAAACAATTTTCCTAGGAAAACGACATAAAAATCATGCACGTACAATCCGTCTATAATCTGATATTTACTGTAAAATTGCGAATAGAATTGTTATTGTAATACGTAGTCCTTAGAATGCATCCTACAAAGATATTCTTTTGCATTAACACTTTTTTAGATTTTGAGTGAAACGATTTACTGTATTAGTTTTTAAAATGGTTTCTATTAATACAATGGAGTCATTTCCAATGATGCGCTAGAATTATTTATATGAATAACTAATCTAGATAGAAACAAATTTTGAGTACCATGACGTACGAATCACCTAATGTTCGCTATATTTGTTGCAATAAAAATGTAGAGTCCGCAAGTACAGTGGTAATATTGGTCTAGAAACCTAAATTTCTAAAATTAGTTCGGATAAGTAGAGAAAAGATTAACTAAGATATTTAATAATTTATTGTTGAAATTATTATGTATTATGTATTATTATTATTCTTTCCATTATAGTACATAATTTATAAAGAATAATAACACATGCATTAGAAGAATTAATCATGGTTACATGATCATATATGACAGGGATAGGCAACTCAAAGTTACTAGAGGGCCAATTTTAAGAAAATTAAAATCTAGCGAGCCAGGTAAGGAAAGCAAAAAAAAAAAGAAAAAAGTCAATCAAAATATGTTTTTTAATTAGTATTAATATACATGAATATAATAAATTCAATACACATGACAGCACGACAGAAATGATACGAAGAAACTTATATAGTTAATTAGTTCGGCACAAACAGCTATGGTTGAAAACTATATGTAACATTTAAAAATTTATCGTTGTTTAATACCAGATAACATGTATTACATCAATATGATTAATTTTAAATTATATGATATAATTTGAAAATATAGCACGGGCCAGATAAAAAAAGGCTCACGGGCCGTCATTTTCCCAGGTATATGAAATACAGTTCGTATATATCGTTTAACCACGATGATTACGATTTAATAATATATGAAATATAATTGATGGTCAAAAAGATGTGTTATATAAATTGATTTTTTTTTTTTTATTATTTGTCTAAGCTTCGACAATTTTATGGTCATTAGTTGACAGTGGTTTAATGGGTTTATTGTGAGGTTACAATACACATAGTTTACGTTTTTTGAAAACTTGATTTTATGACTTCGTTATTAAATACCCAAGTAGACGGTTGGTGTTAACCACAGCACTTGTCAGTGAATACTACTCATCAACGCCCTCTTATTAATTTAATTATTTTCAAAATAATTTATAAAGTAATGTTTTATTTGGTTCACTGTTCAACTGCTTGATTGGCAGACAGCCATCTCGTTTCACTGTAATTTCTCCCTAATATCAACTGTTTTTAATGCTATTCGGTTTTCGCGGTTTGTCCCGTAACTAGGTCCTTGGAGAATTATACCATTGAAAATATTGTTCACAGTTAGTAATCATAGATTTAATGAATCAAATATAATACGTTTTTTTACACACATTATACGTAAATGCAAAAAAATGAACATTATAAATACATTTCAAATGTATGTTTATAAACGATTCGCTCGTTTGACGACATTTAAGTATTTAATTTAAAAATAATTCCCTAGAACTAGTTGTTGAGGGTTTGCAGAAATATTCTATGATTCACGTGGAACTGGTAAACGTACCACAACGATTTAGTATACGCTTTATGAACAAAATTGAGTCAGATTCTAGTTAAAACACTTTCATTCAAAACTCCAAATTTTCTAAGGAACAAAAACACACATAACGGTTATATTCCAACAAAAGAGCAAAAATTACAGATGTCTCAAACCTTGACTACTACAAGATTTAGTTTGTCTCTTATTGAATAATAATGGCAAGTCCTATTTATTTTTCCGAAAAATCGGCAATACACTCGCCACTTTGATAGAAAACTATTTTCATTAATACACAATGTACTATATTATAGTACATTGTGTATTAATGTAAACAATGCAATAAGATCGATCAAATAAATACTGCTATAATTAACATACTTGGTACTCACGTGGATGCAACCTTGGCTTTAATAGTTTTGACATATTCTTTCTACACGTTTTGAGTACCAATATTGGTGCTCACACTGTTTGACTCTCAGGCTTTGAGGGTCAATTTTGGTACTCATAATTTTTCATGATTACGTCACTGAGTACCATTATTGGTACTCAATCAATTAATGGAATAGAGAGTACAGAAAAAGACGATTTATTCCATTTAAATAGCATTGTAATATTGTTATTTGTTCATATACAATTCTTTCTTTTTATATTTTGCGTAAATTAAAATACAAAATAATGTATAATAATGAAAAAAAAAAACAAACAATATTTGCTTAGTATTCTTGTAAATAAAAATACTTAGCTTAAAATACTAAAATATTTTTTAACAAAATGTAAAAATAAAAAAAATTCTCTATTTTATCTTTTTTGACGAATGCATCGTAAAAAAAACAATATAAACATAGAAACTTAGAACAACTGATACATATAGTTTGCACTTTTTGTGCATGCTGTCTTCCACCTTGCTTCCCCATCCCATTATAGCATTCGTAACATCTTCCTCTCTTGCATGTAACTATCTTATGGTTTTCTCCTTGACTTATTTGAGATATTTGAGATTTTTTTAGTAGTGATTTTAAAATGCTCTTTCTAAATTTAGTAACGCCCATTTTGTTACCAGTCACAGTAGTGAACAAAGTTGGTGCATTTAATAAACTTGTGTTTAATAATATTTCAAACGCTACTTTGCGATACCACTTCAGTGATCGTCTAAGTGGTGAATGATATGATTCTCTTAAGTCCGAAATATTCAAAAATCCTTTGACTTTATTATAGTCGAATACAACTGTTGACTTCAAAATTGTATTATCATATTTGTTAGTAGTTTCTATGACATTATCGTTGTGTTTGGTTAATAACATTAATACATCTCTCTTGTCCTTCCACTTCAATACAAGAATATTATTTTCATTTTTATTTGATAGTATTTCCCCTTTCTTTAATTTTGCATTAATAACATATTTTGGATTAAACTTCCTATTGAATCTTAAAGTACCTACTGAATTGGTTGATCGGGACTAAACTTCATTTGCTAAGCTGATAGAAGTATACCAGTTATCGGTGAATATTGTTCTCCCCATATCCAAGTAGTCTTCGGACAATTCCTTGACGATTTTAGTTGAAAGTCCATTCTCGGAACTAATTTCCTGTCTGCATATATTTTGAAACCTACTGTATATCCATCATTCGTGCATAGCAAGAAACCTTTATTCCATACCTATGCCTTTTGTTTTGGATGTATTGACAGAACGACAAACATCCGACAAAAGGAATAATTGATTCATCGACACATAAGTTTTCACCTGATACGTTATAATTTTTAAATTTGTATACTTACATATCGACTAAGCCACGGATCTTAAATATTCACTGTCCTCGAGGACATTCATTTTTATTACAATGAGAACTTCTTAGTAATAATTCAAATCGATTTATTTTCATAAAATTAGGAATGTTAGATTTATAAATATCATTTTTGCTCCAATATGACGCTATAGATCGTTAAGGAATCAATTCTATCCATATTATGATACCCAAAAATGTCCTCATTTCTACTATGTCGATTCCATCTATTCCTTAAGCCTAGATTTTGGCCGTTGGGCTAAAGCATATAAACTGTTACCATATCTATTTGCTTCTATAACTAATAAATTTAAAACATCGTCATCGACAAACAAAAAAAAAATCGTAAGAGGACCCATTATAAAGTGTTTCTATTATATTTTGGTTAATTCCAAAAGGCTCGTTATTAGGACTGAAAACTGGACACGAAGTAAAACTATTCATTAGACCACAAGTAGATGAAGTTTGAGTAGGAAAAATATTAATATTTGGTTCGTGTGGTATATCACTATCTTCTTCGTCACTCGTCACTCGAAGAAAAAATGTTAGAATCCTGTATAATTATTGAATATATTAGTTCTATATTACTTTATAGTAAAATATACGAAGATAATTTTCAAAGCATTGCAAATAAATTATGGGTTTTTCAATTTTTTTGAACGTGAAAATAGATAAAGATAAATTAAAATAATCAGTGAAGGTGCGTTTACATTACGGCCGCGAACGCCAACGAATGCGAATGAACACGAACGAACGCGAATTCGGTAAAGATTCGGCCCCACCGTGCAGACTATTCGTTCGTGTTCGTTCTTCAGCATTCGCTTGCCTTCGCTCAGAATTTGAGTTTCAAAATACTGTTTAGTATAAATTCAACTGTTATGTGAATAACTAATAAGTAGGTACCTATAGCACACATTGATTTTGAATACTGTTTGTGTTTTTTAAATTTTTAATAATAATGTCGTCAAGCGAGGACGATCTTCTAATGGCATGTGCTAGTTTCGTGGTCATGAAATCAATAAATATTTGCTTGCTATTTCGAGCCAAAAATCGATTTTAAGTTTCGATAATTTATACTTAGGATTTGATGAGTCCCAAAGAATAGGACGCGCTTTGTATAAATTTATTAGCGTGAAACACTGATCGTCAGAGATTTCCATAATTTATAAATTAATATTCTACTAACTACCTAATATTTTACAATCAATTTACAAATAAATGAGACACTAAAAAACCGTTGATTATCAAACCCTAAAATACAAGTGAACACAAGCGAATTGGTTGTGACGGGCCGAATCACGTTCACACTGAATGTCATTTCTTCTGATCTT